CACAATTCTGTCCGATACAAACACTCTTCTTTATTATATATATAGATATAGATATAGATTGAGTATTGTTTTGAAATTTCTAATATACCATGATCTCAACATTTAAATCATAAATAAACATACCCTGTATCGAAATTCCCATCTTTTCGGCCCAGAATCCAACTAACTGAGCTGTACTATGCACATGATAAAAAAAGATAGCTCTTGGGGTTCAGAAGAAGCCTCTGCCTTTGTTCGTGTTTGTGTGTCTCATTATTTATTATTGTAAAGGCATTGAATGTTTGCATAAGTGTGTAAATGCTGTAATCTACCCTGAATCCCCAAGAGAAGAGGAGCAGAATATAAATAAAGATTATTATTATTAGTAGTAGTAGTAGTAGTAGTGGTAGTAGTAGCAGTAGTAATAGTTTGCTCTCACAGTGCCCAAGATTTGAGAATTAGATATAATATTAAATTGCAGTTGGCTTATATTGTCATTTCTTATATTTGTACTCCCCAAAATCTATTTTCTCCTGCCTTTTCAAGGTTTTGGTTTACTCAAATCACATTCGCTTTAGACCCTGTTTGATATCCTATGTATGGCACAGTGTATGGCTTTACGAGTCTTTGCTGCACTGCCAAAAAATGGAGGCAACATCATCCTCTGGTGCCAACACACATCTTCTTCCTTGCACATAGCTGGAGGACTTATATGGCATCCTCGGTCTTACAGAAAGAAAATGCAAAGAGTGATACTGAAAGTTTCAAGATGGTTTTTCCCAAATAGCCAATTTGCTCAATTGAAAAAAAAAAGGTTCCTTTGAAAATTAAATTATACAGAAAAATGTTACTTTGGAAGATTAGGGCTTTCTGTAATCATTCACGAAAAATCCATCTAACTCACCCAAAGTCTGCAATAATCCAAGATATATTAACTCTTGGATTACTTCAGAATTGGGATGAGTTAAATGAGGTGATATTAACTCTTGGATTATTGCAGAATCTGGGTGAGATAGATTAATTTTTCACGGATGCGTGTACAAAAAGCCTTAGTCTTCAAAAGTAACATTTTGAATTAACTCTTGGATCATAGAATAAAACCTTGAAGTTACTGTTCCTTAAGTGGAATAAATCAAAACATTAAAAACCTATGTAAATGTATTTAAATATCAATCACTGTGGTTAATTGAAATGGAAAGTCGGACGATATTTTTTACCAAGCCTGTTATTTACTAGTTAACTTCAGAATGCAGCAGGGACACATTACAAAATGGAATATGTCACTGAAAATACTGTGAGATCAGTAAAATAGAGAAAATTAAACTATATATCCAAGATATAATCTTTTGCTTTACATTGTTGGGGAACTGGAACTAAGCGGGAATTAAAGTGCAAGACAGGGAAGATTGCTTAGGAGCAACGACTGTTTTATTAGTATTTTTATCACAGGAACAGGCAATAAGCAGCCCATGAATCACATGTTTCCTTCGTTAGAGGAGACATGTCATTGTCCAAGGTGGCTCCTAATTTCCACTTAAACTCTCTCTGTAAAAATCCTCACATCTTTACATTTTTGTCCCACTTGACTTCTCCCTACTCTTCTTTCCCCAGCAAAATTGGTGCTCCTTTCCCACAAAGAAGTGGTTCACAGTATTACCTCTTCTATGAAAGCCTGTTGGATATACTTTGGTCTGCTTTCCAAAAACCTTATGGTACATGAGGACATTGTTGCCACTCTCATGTGATTTATATTATACCCAACATTTCTGGGGCAGGGACATGTGCTTTGAGTGCTTTGAATGTGATTTTCCTGCTTCTTGGCAGGGGGTTGGACTGGATGGCCCATGGGGTCTCATCCAACTCTATCATTCTATGAACACTGATGTGAATCAGTGTAATCTCAGGGCCCATCTACACTGCCATATAACCCAGTTTCAGAATCCAGATTATCTGCTTTGAACTGGAATATATGGCAGTGTAGACTCATATAATCCAATTCAAGGCAGATAATCTGGATTCAAAAACTGGATTATATGGCAGTGTAGATCCAGCTTCAGTGCTATCTCAGGTATGGGGAAGTATTGCGAGAAATTTAAATTGTTAAAATATGGGAGCAGGGCATTTGCCTGCCAAAAGTAAGGTATTAACTCCTTGTGGCTATGAAATGTAGCTAAAAGACCATAAAATCATAGAATTGGAAGAAACCACAAGATCCATCCAGTCCAACCCCATTCTGCTATGTAGGAATACACAATCTAAGCAGCCTGGCAGGGGCCATCCAGAAAAGATGGAAGTCAAACTAAAAGGATACAAACTTTTGCTTGGTTCTGCTTGAATAAAATGTTGTTTCCCAGAAGTGGTTTCAGTTTTCACTAAAAGCCTGAGGATAGAGCTCTTTTTTAGGAACTGAAAACTTTCATTCCAATAATACAGTCAGACAAAAACTACAGAAAATAGCAAGATTAAACCAGCAATAGCAACACAGCCTCAGACAAAACATCTGTGACCACAGAGAAAGAAAAATTAACAAAATTACAGTCTATTTCAGTGAGGATATTTAAGAAAAGAAGGCATCCTTCCAGTGTTTGGCATGCAACCTAGAAGAGTGAATGTTGCCTTAATTTGTATTGATATATTCAATACATGGTAATCAAACACTGTTTTAAAAATGTCATTTGTATTTTATTTGACATTTTGGACTGGGCAATCAGTTCATCAATGCTTCATCTTCTCCATCAATGCAAATATATGTAATCAGTGTAAATGTGCAGACTCTGAGTAGAAAGAGAGTAAGAAATCCTTTCTACCTTGCAACTATTTCTAAATGAACTGCTGAACACATAAATTTAACTCTTTCAATATTACTTGGCTACTATCATTAATCAGAATCATCTAATAATAGATAGGAATTGCAGTGTTAGCCCTGTCAATAATCTCATTTTCTTTTCAAAGACTTCTGACTATGATTCTTCAACCAGTTAGTAGGACTACCCCAAATGCCCATAAGTGTCCAGACATCAAAACCACACTGCAATTATTATATGTAGGTCTAACTGGTGCATGAAACTATCTGTGAAGGACTTCAACACTATGCTCCCTTAAAGAGTATGAGATTGTTTTCATTGGGAATCAAATCTATATTATCGTAATGTTTATCTTCAGTCTCAGTTCCTAGACATTTGCCCAATGCTTTTTAAACCTACATGAGTTTTCTGTCAAATAAATCCTTTATAGTGTCAGTAATATGACTCCATGTAATTATGGAGGGTAAGGTAAAGCCTTCCCATTCCAACAATCTACAGTAGGACTTGAGAAGGTACGATGCATATGTTATTGTTCATGTATGTGTAATATGTATATAGACACATGTTCTCAGGGCAGTGTGTCTCCCAGCTGACAATCAAACTACCAATATAGAATGGAGACTACCTGTTACAAATTTATTGAAATTTGTGGAAGTTTCAAACTGGTATAAACTGGTGGTGTCAGTCTGTGCATTCCTTTCCACTCTCTCTTGCTGAGTTGTTTTGTTTCGTTTTAAAGGACATTTTGCACATATCTTGGGTTAGAAACTGTGAGTTCATGCTTTTTCCAACGTAAGCTTTTAACAGTCATCAGCCACCAATGTCTGCAAAGATCAATCTGCACTGAGAAGATCCTACACTGAAGGAAGGTTTATGCAGGGCAGTGTTACTGTTAATGGAGTGGTAGATGAGGACAGGAAAGCAAACTGAAAACAGTCCTTGACAGAGCTTGGAAAGTTAGGTTTAAGAAAGAGTCCCAGGATATAATTGTATCAGTGCTCAATTGTAGATATCTTCAGCATGATATTGTATTACGTTTTATTAAAAGCAACTTACTGAGAGCTGATCTATGACAAAAACAGTGAGTATAACATTTATGGATATTTTACCTGGGAAAATGTGGAACTAAAACAAAAAACCTTTCGTAAGTTAAGTAATGCCAGTCTTTTCATCTGAGGTCTTTGTTTTCAGTATAGTTCTCCAATTTCTTTTTTAAATCACCCTAATCTTTAAAAATCAATTAATTACTTTTAAATGGTTTGTAAGCAAGCACATAACATTTTTATTTGTACTTATGAAAAATGTAATATGTAGATGTTGCAAAGATGTCCTTATAACTGTCTCTTGTCAAAGGGCATGGCTAGTTGGAACACTTTCTTCAATGCATGCTGAGTGGAAAACACTCAGCATTGTATTGTATTATGTTTGAATGGCATCAAATTGCTGCGAGAGAAAGAAGGCGGGATACAAAACAAAGTAAATAAAAATAAATAAATAAAACACCTAATTATTATGAAGTGTAGAATGTCAAGCTTGGAAGATTTTTTTTGAATACAACTCCCAGATTCAGAGAGTTGTAGGGCCTGTCTACATGGGCCACAAAACCCAAATCAGGCCAGAAGTTACTCCTGGACAGAAGTCGAGGAATGCTCCAGAAACTAGTCTCACTGTTCACTTGGGTTAGTGCTTCCATCCTGTTTTCCCAGTGCTCCATGGTGCAGAGAAAAGGAGATGGCACTTGTGAAAGGAGCTGGCACTTGCCTTCTGCGTTCTTTATCACCACAACAGTGGTCACAGAGCCCCCCTCTTTTCACCCCTCTTCTCATGAAGTTACTTGGGTGCCTTTGCTGACCTTGACAAATGTGCCCAGTGACAATCGGAGCTTTCTGGAGCTCTTTGACCACTGTGGCAGCCACATCATACAACCATACAGTGACCATAAAACCATACAGTGACTATACAGTGGCGCTAAATTGTGTTCAGCCTGACTGGACATTCAATACTCTGTTCCTGCTACTGCAGTTCAGGATCAGAGAGATGTAAACATGTTAGCAGAATCTGGGGGTCTGAATGTTTCAGACCAGCCCCAAATTTAGGTCCTCATATAGATAGGTCTGTGGTCTCCCCAAAAATAATTCTTCAGAGATCTAATGAAATTATTCTCTGTTAATTTTCTTTTGAGTAGTTTCTGATTATTGTTATTTGCTTAATGTGCAGCAGACAAGAATATTTCCAGTATGGCAACAAGACCAGCTCCTGGAAAAATGGAATGGATCATTCCGCTCATCGTAGTCTCAGCCTTGACATTTGTGTGCCTCATTCTTCTTATTGCTGTGCTAGTTTACTGGAGGTGAGTGTTTTCAAAGTACCCACATAAAGTGATTGCAAATGCTTTACAACTCTTTTTTTCTATTTTGATTGTTACCTTTAACAATACTTCTCTGTTCCCACATTGTGAATAAAAGAGCCATGAGTGGTGCATGTGCTTTATCAGGAGAAAGTTCCAAGGTCAGTCTCGGAGTTTCGGGTAAATTGAGGAAAATCTCTGCCCATCAACTTCAAGCAGTAATTCTTAGCCTTGGAACTTGGGATGCTATATAACTGCCCAAATCCTCAGCCAACATGGCCAGGTTATACCATTCTACAATGTCTGCTTTAGAAAATTGCTACCATTCCAGGTTTCTACGTTAATTCACTGTAATGTTTTATAAAGCAGGGTGGGGGGTTTTTTTGTGAACTGTAGGCTAATATAACTTGTAGAAGTTTCACAGAACAACAAAATATGCTACATATTCTATGCATGTTTACCAAAATGAAAATCATACAATAGATAATATTCAGTATGTATAATTTCTACCAATACATATTGCTAAAAGAAAAGAAGACCACCATGTAGATTACCCTTTTGACAGAGTAGATATTAAATTGGCCAGCAAAGAAGAAGAAGAAGAATTATAATGTGATAGTAAGTCACTACTCTGAAGGTATCAGATCCTTTCTGATCTTGGACACTAAGCAGGATTGCCCAGGATTAGTAAAAGAATGGGTAACCATCAACAAATACCAGTTGCTGTAAGCTATAGCTCAGAGGAAGACACTGTCAAAATATTCCTGAGTATTCCATGTCTTAAACCCCTGTTAAATTCCTAGGGTTGCCATAAGTTAACAGGCAACTAGAAGATGCATGCACACAAGTACATGTGTTCAATTGAAATCCCAACATTAATGGCAGTACTTGCCCAACCGCCTCCACAATGTATTCAGCAAAAGAGGAAGCCTCCGGTGGCACAGTGGGATAAACCGCTGAGCTGCTAAACTTGTTGACCAAAATGTTGCATGTTCGAATCTGGAGAGTGGCATGAGCGCCTGCTGTCAGCCCCAGCTTCTGCCAACCTCACAGTTTGAAGTAGATCAAGAAGTATTGCTCCAGTAGAAAAGCAATGGCACTCCATGCAGTCATGCTGGCCACATGACCTTGGAGATGTCTATCGACAATGCTGGCTCTTTGGCTTAGAAATGGAGATGAGCACCAACCCCAGAGTCGGACACAACTGGGCTTAATGTAAGGGGAAAACCTTTACTATACATTAGTACAAAGGATGAAAGGGAATCATTTAAAGAGAACCAGAGTGGAAAATATTCTACCAAATGAAAGAACCCATCTAGGCAAATATTCTAATATAAATAAACCGTATCCATCACATAGTTCTGATTGCATCATTTGTGCTTTATATAATGCACCATGGCTCCCCTTCAGTTTATTCTTTGTCCTTAGGGAAAAAATTAATAGTCTGTCACAATGTTTTGTTTTATTTTCAAGTACAAATCTAATTTAAAAGTTAGGAAATAGATAGTGAACCAAAATACCAGGAAAACAACATATACAGACAGTGGAATAGACAACATATGGAATCATTTTGTAAATGAGGCCATCAAGCAAATAAAATGAAAATGAGTTTGAGGTGGGCTTGTTGCTTCTCGAGAAAGAAAATGTAGTAATACAATGAATATAGCAATACAATGAATAGCAGCAGTATATATTTTTAATATATATATTAAATGTTTTTCTCCACTGGTAAAGAAAATCTTAAATAGGACAGACCTCTTAGAACAAGTGGCTTTTACTGACCAGTCTCTTCTTCAACCCACTTTTTCTTTCTTTTGGTAAGAATAATAAAACACAAAATGAGCTCACCTTTGGCAAGGCATTGTGAAAGAAATAAAATCTTTAATCCTTTAAATTTAAGGTTTTCAGCATCTGGGAATGCAGATGAAAGAATAGAAAAGCATTCTGCTTGTCTGTATTAGCATCCTAAAGATAGAAATAAAATTTTACGTATAGTGGGCTGCTGGGCTTTGGTTCCTGGACCCACACCTCATGGATATTAAAATCCAGGGATCCTCAAATCCCATTATATACGTCAGATTAACATGGCATCCATGTATATAAAGGCAAAATCAAAGTGTACTTTTGGGATTAAAAAATATTTTCAAGCTGTGGTTGATTGAATACATGGATGCAGAATCCATGGATAGGGTGGGCCAACTGTATTTGTGCTTGAACACATCCAGTCATCAGTTTCACTTTTAGGGACTGAAACACTCACTCAGCTATGCTGGGTTACCAAAATTATTTTAGAGAGCTGCAGTTACCAGCCAAACAAAAGGTTAAGTCTGTTTATTTATTTATTTATTTATTTATTTATTTATTTATTTATATCACGCCTTTTTCTACCCCGAAGGGGACTCAAGGTGGCTTTACATATGGGTATTATGCAATGCTTTTGAACAATAAACAGTTAAACTACATTAAGTTAAAAAAAATCAAAATTAAAAGAACATTAAAAACATATAAAACATTGCAATCACTATTAAAAATCACGCTACCCACAATTGTCATCCCGGGCCATTCCAAAAGTCATTGCACATAGTTCCATAGCTATTATTGCACTGTAGTTAATTTCCAAAGGCTTGACCCCAGAGTCAGATTTTCACTTTCCTTCCAAAGGCCAGGAGAGAGGGAGTTGCTCTAATATCACTGGGGAGGGAGTTGGATAGCCAAGCGGCCACCACTGAGAAGGCTCTGTCTTTCGTTCCCACCAGACGCACCTGCGAAGTAGGCGGGACTGAGAGCAGGGCCTTCCCAGGCGATCTTAAATCAAGTAGGAACAACGACCAACATCTCACTCAGTAACAGTATTTATTTTGAGCACTGCAGCAATTTCAGAGCACTACATTTCTTATGTTCTTTTGGAGAGCAAAGAAATGCAAATATAATATAAATATAATTCAGGGAATGTATGAAGTGACATGGAGACCCAGGGCCTAGATCTGTCCTCTACCCACTGCACTCCCTGCAATGTTTTTTTATTTGGGACACATGAGAAAGCACAAAGTTTCACATGTGAACAGTAGGGACAGGTCTTTTTTGCAAACCTTGCATGTCCCATTCAGTGCTTGAATACATACAGAGTCTCATTTGAATCCTTCCTTCATTTTATATTATTGGCTCACATTTCCCATTGTTTTCGGATGGATCTACCCTGCCACATTCAAAGCAGATGATCTGGGATCAGAAACTGGATTATATGGTGGTGTAGATGGGGCTTTCGTCATAAGAGACAAGGCAGTGTCCATGTTCTTCATCCAGCTTCCAAAGTTTTCAAATATGTTCAGTGTTCCTAGAGGAGCATCTCAGGCTGGAGAAAGACCCTGACTGAGTAATACTTGGAAATTCACTTTTTATATTACAGTTCCCAGAATCCCCTAGGCAGCCTGTTCAGTGTTCCCCCAAAATGTGAAATTTCCAAAATCTGATGAAAGGTTACCTACCACTTTGTAAAACTTGAACAAAATACAAAAGTGATAGGGGGAAAAAATCTAATTCGTTTTGCTGTATTTATCACTGTGGCCATTTAGATAATGAAAACTTTTAACTTGTGATGTAGTGTAGAGTTGAGGTTGTTTGGGTGCCTTAATTGATCATATTACCATTATGCAGCTTGTTCTCTGAATTATCCTTTGTTGGTAATGTACTTGGAATGGAGATGCTGCCACAAATCTTGGCCTCTTTCCAACATGTCACCAAGCATGCTTTTTTTTTGCAAGGAATGCCCTGTTGGGTTTGGTGTGGGGGAATGGTAATAGTGGAAAAGTGGGTATTTCCTAATTACAGAACCTATATATTTCTCTTTCCATTTTACGAACAAAATTGAATAGAATAGTCATGATTCCATATAGCATCATTCTATATAGCAATGGGGTGTCCCAATATGAAGGGATGATAGGCATGGTGTATTAGGTGTAATTCATTGGGGTCTCATGGAGAAAGACTTTGGTAAGTTGCAGGTAAGCCCTTTGGTTATCCCCATGCTGTTGTAAAAAAAAAAATTAAGAGTTTTCATATGAAAGATGACCAAAAAGTCAGTGACATTTATAACTGTGAGAGCTGTTTAACAGTGGAACTCTCTTCCCTGGGGTGTGGTGGAGGCTCCTTCTTTGGATACTTTTAAACAGAGGCTGGATGACCATTTGTCAGGGGTACGGATCTGGCCGGAGTGGTCCATGCCTTGGTCACTTCCAGACTGGACTACTGCAATGCGCTCTACGTGGGGCTGCCCTTGAAGACAGCTCGGAAGTTCCAACTGGTCCAACGATCAGCAGCCAGGATGTTAACGGGGGCCCCTTACAGAGAGAGGTCAACCCTCCTGTTCAAGGAGCTCCACTGGCTGCCGTTTATATTCCGAGCTCAATTTAAGGTGCAGGTGCTTACCTACAAAGCCCTGAACGGTTTGGGACCAGCTTACCTGCGTGACCGCATTTCCATCTACGAACCCACACGCTCACTTCGGTCATCTGGAGAGGCCCTGCTCGTGATCCCACCTGCGTCGCAAGCGCGCTTGGTGGGGACACGGGACAGGGCCTTTTCTGTGGTGGCCCCCAGACTCTGGAACACCCTCCCCAAAGACCTTAGATAGGCCCCCACACTGGCAGTCTTCAGAAAGAACTTGAAGACTTGGCTTTTCCAATGCGCCTTCCCAGATTAGGAAATCTCCACTACCAAGTCCCATAAGCACCTTATCAAAACCAATGACTGCTGCACATCGCACTTGCCCTTGAAGCCTCATATACACCTCCTGTCACATCAGCACTTTTAATTTTTGTACCCATTACTCTGGCCTGGCCCAGTTCTTATTGTGTTTTAGTGTATTGCTTTTGCCTGTGTTTATTTGCTTTATCCTGTTTTTAATTGTTTGATTTGCCTAGTTTGTTTTGCTATGTTGTGTGTTGAGGCCTCGGCCTGTGTAAGCCGCATCGAATCCTTCGGAAGATGCTAGCGGGGTACAAATA